TTAAATCCCGTCCATCATCTCTTTCTTTCGCTCGCTTGACGCAGAGAGCAATTCCGAATAATAACCATTATCGCCCGCAAATGACGCAAATGACGAACATCCGTACACTGTTTTCAAGCAATGATAATTAGTGGAATGTCAAGAGATCTGATTTGTTGCTAGGTGATATTAGTTTCTCGGAGACGCGACGCCCGCGGAGCACAATGGCGCAACTGTGAAACTGTGTCGTTGGCTCGGCGCGTTGATAATAATTATACCACGATAGCGGACGTTATTGAATGGAAATTTTGCGTAACTCGTGTAATCCGTATCCGCGCAATTAATTATTGTACCGCGATAAGTCACGATATTATTCCGTCCGTCCCTTGAGCATACGCGGGGGCGGTCAGGGGGGGGCGACTGATTGCGCGCTAGCGTCATGTCATATATTATGCACGCATCATCGTGTTGCGTACACGCGCTTTCCAGCTGATTTTGGCGTATTTCCTCAATCGCTTAATGCACGTCCCGCACGTGAATTATCGTCATAACGACAACTCGATGACAATATAATGATGTTGATCTCTTCCTGTACCGTCTCTCGAAATTATAGAGACAGGAAAATATTTAAAATTAATCTGTTGTAGATTTATGTGTTGAATATTTTTGTTATAATTATGTGCATCTATTGCATTAACATCAAATTGTCATAAACGAGTATTATTGCAATTACAAGAGAAAATTTGAGTTAAGCGATGCAAAAACAATATAGTTGTGAATTATAATTCTTAAATGATGATTTATGTGATATTTTCTGTCGCGATTAAACATTTCTATTCTTTCAGAAGAATTATAATCAATAAAAAAAAAGATTATAAATTTATTAAAAGATAAATATATATGCACTATAGCACAAGAAGCGGCGAAAGTCGAAAAACATACATCGAAATAACGAACTACATATCATTGTCTGTTTATTATATAGCGCGTCAGTTAAAACTCTATCGCGTTCTTTCGCGAAAAACCGGCGTTCCGAAAACCTTGACCGACCGAGAATTTTTGGCCGCGGGGGTGCGATCGATCACGATCCATTTGACAGGCCCGATCGATCGATCGTTCGGTGAATGCGCACAGTTAAGCGGTTCTGTCTCTCTCACTCTCACGATCGACAAAAAAACCAGCTGCCGCGTACGCTAATTTCGGCACGCGCGCCGCGAGGCTTTTTAAGCGCCGTGATACGACGGAAAGCGCAACGTGCAACGCAATGCAACGCAACGCCACGCCACGCCATGCGCACATCCGAAGGATGGAGCGCGTTCTGAATACCCGCGCACCTTGCGCCCCGTTAATTACGAGCTGGCAGCGTACGCGCGCGCGTTCCCGTAATCGTTTTTTGCGCGCAACTTTCCGATGTGCGGAGAGCACGTAGCACGGATCTCGAAAGCACAAATACTCTGACATGTGATAAATACTCATTGGACGTCGATATCTCGATAATTTTAAAAGAAAAAAATATTTGTGTGAAAGTTATCATAATGTAGTAATCTTTATTCCCGTCTACTCTCTATAGAAAGTTTTTGATTAATATATCCAATTACATTATTACAATATATTTCTTCTTTATTTCCTCTTCAAACATATAGCCATCCATTGTTTCTCTTGATTTTCTACAAGATAATTATAAGTTTAGTTTGAGAAAAAAAATATTTACAATGACCAATACATAGTTCAATTTCCTCTCTTAAGCTGGGACGTTAAGAGTGTCGACGAAGCGACGCATTGTTCGCTTATAGCCCCAGATAAAAGGGCGTCGATAAAAATTGTAACAACAAACGTTAATGGTAGAACAGAGTTGTCACTGGAGTCGCTTCCGGGATATCAATCAACCCGGGGAATGGGAGGCGCCTTTAAGGAGACGTTGCCGGAGCCGTTATCGCTCTAATCGCGAGACATACAATCACGAAGAAATATATATATATATATATATATATATATATATGTGTGTGTGTGTGATACACACGCACGCGTTCGCGGGCATTCGTGCATCCTTAAGCAACGAGTACCAAGACTACCAAGCAAGGAGCGAGATGAAAAAATCGCGTGGCGCGCGGCCTACAGGCGGTAATAAATGTTTCGAGGCTCGTAAAAATGTTATTGCCTTCTGTGCGGCGCGATACCCCAGAAGACAGTGCGCGAAAGTAAAAGGGGGACGACCGAGGTGATAGAGACACTCGGGCCAGGAACCTGGCGAATCCGTACAGTTGCGCACCGGCGAATTCGCGTTATACCAGTCGTGGAATAGTGGACGTAATAAGTTATGAAGAATAACTTGGGGAAAAAGGAAATTTTACGTCAGTTATGGAGTCGCAGAACCTTTATTCGTACAATTATTTCAGCACAGTTTCACCTTTTTCTTCTTTAATATTAAACGACCTTTTTTTTTAAATATAGTATTATCTTTAAATTATTTACGGTGCACAACTTTTGCGAGACTGTGATCTGTCAAAGTTGAATATTTTTAGATATGTTGAGGAACACGTAGACACATCTATTCATTCAACTTTGCATCGGTTGAAGAATGCACGCTGAAAAAACTACACCTGAGGCTATAGCTGTGTATGCACGACAAACTTGGACTGTGAATAATTTAAAAATAGAGCTTGTGTGCAAATCGGCTTATTCCGCGACTATAAGGAATCGCTCTTTTTCCAGCTTATGCAGCTCGTTACTTGGAACTCACAAGAGTGTGCATGTAATGCGGCACATTGATCGGACTTGATGATACGTGAACTAGACTTTGATTCGAATGTGTGTAAGAAACGCCGGCTTGGAATATCGTGAAAAAGAGAGTTGGAACGAATGAACGACACACCTTCCGTGCATGTAACTCGAGAAATGGCATTCGTCATTGCGAGACCGCGACTATATTATCATGTTCGCAAGACAAATAATGACAATGCCAGACGGAAGTGAAAGATCCAGGAAGTGTTGCGCGTACAATATTAATAACGTAATATGCAAACGCTGTATATAATAGATCGTGCAAATACATTATCAGGATTGAATTTTTACTTTTAAATATATATATTAGTAGCGAATTATTTCTTATCAAATTGACATTTGTAAAGCTTTATCTGCATATTTTTCCGGAATTGCTTACAGAAAATATATTAAGAGATACGAAAAAATCACACATATAAAATAAATAAGAAATAGTTTAGTATCGATTATTACAAATTTTTAGCTTTATAAAATGGAAGAGAAAAATTGAAAGACCAGTGAAAATTAAGAAAAATTAGAAAGTTACATTAATAAATTGGAAAAAAGTATCACAATGTGGGGAACATTAATGAAATTCGCCTCGAAACAATAGGGACCGTAGCGCAAGACGATTTACCACGCGCACACTTTTTTCATTCCGATGTAATGCTCCCTCTTACGCGGAGCAGCAAGCCGCTAATATCGCCGTATAATCTGTCGCCGTTCCGAATAAATAACCCGCGGCGTGGCTAATAAAATTTCACCGCCTGCGAAATTTTGTCAGCCGCGTCGCCCTCGCGCGTCGCTTCCTCGAGCGACAGAAGATTCCCGGCGGATGCGTTTTTCACGGTGGCACGGGATACTGTCTATATAAAGACACATAGCTGAGCAGAGGGCAGGAGGCGGCACACAGCGTGCACCCGCGGCGGGCGCGTCGCTTCATTTGTCTTTATATTAACGCCGCAGTGTAACGCCGTAACGGCGTTATGACGACAACACAACGGGTAGCGTCGGCGTCTACAACCGCCGTGAAACAACTTTCTACCCCTCCCAGCCATTCTCTCGCGGCCCTTTTTTTCGCCTCTTTATATAAACCGCGCTGCCGTTTTACGAGGGACGAAGGTAGCGAGAACTGCCCCTGATTCCAAATTATTACTCCGTGTGAACGTCGCCGGAGGGGGTTGCGTCTCTCGGCAAATTGCGTTTTCGCTGATATGGAAGATGCGCGATGATCGAAGATAAAGTTGGAAAAGCGTATATTTATTTAAGTTAAGCGAAAGAGAAGTTAAACTTTCTCCTCAAGTTGAATTAATTTTAGCGAAAAGATATTAATTGGGGAAAAACCGAGAAAATATAATTATTAATTTTTTTCTGTCATTTTTTTTAAATAAAATGACGAAATAGTGTTATAAAGATTACTTAAGAACGATAGAAGTAAAATTAAATTTCTTGCTAATATATTATTATTATTAAATTCCTTATTTCCTTGCTAATGTATTATTATAATATGAAGAGTAAATGAAATTAATTCGTAGTATCTAAGAGCGATACGCGAAGCGGCGCGGTGTTACGTAAAATCTCGGACGGTCCCCCTAGCACATTAGCGCGATAATTGCGAGTCGAAGTTTCCTAGTGCATATTCGTGTTGCTCGCGGGCGAACTTTCAGATCTATAATAGACATGGGGACTGAAGAGGGGAGGAGAGAGATGCCGCCTTCTCGTCTCGATGCGGCACGGCGGCGACGAGATACGTCGATATCTCGATGTAGGTACATACCGACCTGCAGGTAACTTTGCAGCAGCGCGGAGAATAAAGTTTTCTGTGTGCCGCGTTCTCGTATATATATAAAGTAATACCGATACGCGCGAGGTCGGCTCTTTTCCTCGTGAGGGCGGGGGGAGAGGGGGCGGTATAGTAGATCCCAGGGGATTAATTCCGAGCCGAGGGCCGGAAAATATTCACGGTTCCTTAAAATCCGACGAGCCTGTCTCTTACGAGCTTCCTCTAGGGTGGCGTTACGCCAAACGGACACTCAAAATACCAAGAACCCCTGTCGTCCATTTTCCACTTGCCCACGGCAATCGTCCCTTAATCCGTCCTGTCCCTTAACCGAACTGTCCGAGATACGTGGGATATGGATAAAACCTTGCTACCGAATATAGGAGACGCCGCTGACGGCGTCTTTCTAAACGTTATATGATATCTTTCTCTGTAACTTAATAGCCTCTCTCTACAGCGTCGCGCTTGTTTTTGATTGCAGTCTATCCGCTGCACGGTGAACGCCTGCTCCTGCGACTCCTTCACACCCGGAAAACGTCATCTGCGCTACTGCGAGAACTGCCATCATGGATGGGTGCCTCACGGTAAGTGCCAAGCGCATCTCGAAAATAATAATCGTCGAACATTTCGCGATGTCGGAATTCACGCGTTTCGAGCGCATCTCTGAAAAAAATACAGAAAAAAAAAAGAGAGAACAATCGAAGATTTTCCCGGGGATATTCCGGTGCCTGGTGTCGCGTGCGCGCGCGGTTAAACGCAAATTTTCCAACTGTCAGCATACTTCATCCGACGGAGGCCCTCAGGGACGAAATTCAATTTTCCAACGATGACCGCCGCCCAACCCTCGTTGGGCATAGCGGCCGCGCGGCCACCCCTTTGCACAATAGAAAGAAGCGCGCGCGCGCACACGTATTGAATACGCGCGCCTATATACGACGATATAAGACATCGGGATACTTTATACCCTCGTAAGTTCCTGAATGCGAAGAGGTGATCCGGGGGGGGGGGGGCGGTCGGCCACTATGTTTCGCACTGAGTTTCATCGTCCGGGGCTATCTCGACACCCGCGGTGGCCGAGCGCACCCCCGCGCGCGCGCGTACGCACGTACATACACGCGCATACGTCAAACCGCGCTTAAAATTCCGCCTGCTTGACCCGCGATAGATTGGACGCGGCGCGGCGTGGAATACATATCAATTTCGGGCTTCTCCTTTTTCCACCGATCCCGCGGGAACGTAGTTGCACACACGCTCTCTTTCTTTTTTTTTTTTCATCCTGGATTCTGTCCGCCTTCAATTTTCTGCGTTACATCGCGAACAAAAGGTGTCGCAATCTCACGCACGGGCATTTCGTTGCGCAAAAAGGCGCAACGTTGCGAGCCGGCATACGTGGTAATTATTCTCGCGGATTGCCGGGTACGCGAGAATGCTCGTCGAAGGTGGATTAGAGTGATTAACGAACGTGTTAAGGTATAAAACACGAGCGCGAGGTGCGTAATCAACGAGATAATCGTGCACTCAAAACACTTGCCGGCCGCTCGCCGATTAGCTAGAGTTTTGCATAAATTTTTGCGGCGCGCGCGCGCGCTTTTAAGTTTGTGCGTAATCAATTAGCCGTTAAATTGGAGGCCTGTTATTTTTTTTTGCGTGGCATATATCGGTGAGATGTGAATATTCCGGAGAAAAGAGTAACGCGGATCTGTTGCTATTGTTACTTGTTAATATTTACTCGTTTTGAATATATCATATGTCAATGTACAACTGTTGGCGTTTTAAAACAGAAATTTTCATAAATTTTCTGCAATATTGAATATCATAACAAATATTGAAAACAAATTCATTGTTCACGTAATTAATATCCACATTTTTACTGTATCATTAGGAAAAATATCGGTTTCATGATATACTGATAATCCTATGTCTCGTGTTTCCTTGCATCATAAATCAGTGTGTATACATCCTTGTGTGTCAATTCAAAATTATCGATGTAAAGAAGACGACCGTAATAGGCGGAAATCAGTTTCGAAAACGCGAACGTAGTCATTTCTCTTTCGATATGGCCGATACGAAGGACTTAAATTAGAAATCTCCCGGCCTGTCGTCATTCTTTGTTTCAAAACCGGTTTTGCGAACGGAGAGAAAACGGACTCGTCATTATTGATCCGTCAGTGATTAGGATAATAATCTGTGATATACGTTCGTAGCAGTAAAAGTCGATCGCGCGTAACGGCAAAATTATTATCAAGATAACGAACGTATAATTAATTAGATTACGTATTAAACGTGACGCGCGCAAAAAGATACACTATCACGAGAGCGTGATATTTTTTTTTCTTTTGAATAGATATAATTATTAGAAATATTCAAGCAAAGAAATGACAAGTGTTGTATATACATGTAGAATATTTAATATTATTTAGCTTAAACATCTAACATATTTGATTCGATGTGTCGTGTTACGTCGTCAAAGTCGACTTGATTCAAGTTCTTAACATCGCGTAACCGGGTTTTTAATTTACGTTTCTAATTTCGTATCAAGGACTTGACGCATGCCATATAGGAACTAAGTAGAGCATCGTTAGCTGCCACCGAAGGTGTGGCGATGCGCGAGGGCCACGGGACCGTGAACGAAATCACGAGTAGTGCACTGACAAAGGCCTTTTTAAATTGTAATGAGCTGCCAAAGAGTGAATTATGTGCCGTCCAAGTGCCATCGGAGTCCTCGGAACCCCATCCTATAAAACCCCACCGTACACGCGTATATATCCCGGCATCCCTGTGGCCGCCCGGCCACCCCACGTCATGAATATATTTACATTGATCGGCCGTCTCGGCATTTTTCATTTGACTCGTCGTTGTATTCGTACGAGCCCGAAGTGTGTCCATCCCTTCGATACTTTATTTATATCGACGGGACGGGACGGCACGGTGTCTGTCTTTTCTCCATGCAGTTTTCATCGCACGGGAACTCGCGTATGAGCGATGAATCCGGCTCGACGCTAATGATCCTTTCGTCCTTGCCCGGAAATCCCTGGAGTTTAACAAGATGGCTTCCTGGACCGCCCGTGCTCGCGAGATGCGTATCGTATACATGAACCATCCGGAATCGGAGTCCACGAGAAAGAAAGAAAAAGAGAGTTTGCTTTCAATGTAAAGTCATATTTATAAAGCGTATTTTGCAGAGGCTAGACTTGACGAATTTTGTAATCGTCCCACTTCTCGAATAAGGTAATATCATTAAATATTAAAGAAAATCGTTTCATATCTCATAAAATTTATTAGATCATTTCGAGCGTACATTTTTACAATTACAAAATATAAATATTCTTCCCAACTCCCGTTTCGTACCTCAGGAATTATCATACCTATCTCAGGTACTACCCTAGTGCAATGAAGCGCACGCGCCATCAACATCGGGAACGATCGAGCAGTAACCTTGTGAGACCATTACACGCGGATTAACTTAAGCCGCGTTTTACGTACGTACGATATCCGCCGCGCCGCCGGTGCGGGAGAGCGTGGTACGCGGACTCGGCTGGTCTCGCTAAAATAAAAATCACGAAAAGTAGATGCGCGCCTAATGAAGGGTTAGAACGGGCGGCAGGGGTACAGTTACGCGATTAAAGCCTCGATGTCGAGTATATAGCGACCTTCTTTCCGCCGCGGCGTAACCTCGGCGATAAGAGGATACGCGTACTCTAAATTCCGTACGCCCTTCCTGGTAATACACCGTCAGGGGGGGAAGAGCAATTTAGCGTACGGGCTTGGCGCTCGGACGAGAGGCAGAATTTTCCGAAGTTCGCCTTCAATACTTTACGTGCCTGCGCGAACCGGTCATCTACTGCTCCAACCACCTCCCCCCCTCCCCTTCCCTCCGACCCGTCCACAATCTAGTCCAATTAAACGTTTTTCACCGCGCCTCATCGTCTGTCCAGTATTCGGTTTATCCGTCTTTTTATCGTGCCAGGCGTACACATCGGCGGCGGAACCTGAGTCATAAAGCCCATCGATTACACTCCGTCGATAATGAGTAGTATCCTTTATTACTCAGCTCGATGTATCCACGCGAGGCTCATTTCAACCTCGCTAAGAAACTGCCGCGATCCAAGCCCGAGCGCATTGACAGTAAGCGATTAGTATCGCGGCATCGCGATGAAGTCACGCTAAAAGAAAACAACGCTCGCCTGTCTCCACTGATTAATTCTCGATTACTCAATCTTAGATTAATATTTTCTTGCGTAACAGTCGATCATCCAGACACGATCGTAACGTTATTATTAATCGTTTGCTATTTATCCACATTTTCAGCTATTTGTCTTGTTTACTGTCGTCGCGTTTTCGCATCTCAAGCGCCGCGCTAATAGTTTAAGATCGTCTGTCCTAAAACCGAACGGGAGAGCTGTCGGTACATCCAATTTTACGATTCGTGTAACGCGAAGAGGAGGAAGACGTCTCTCGACGGCAAGAAGAGAGGAACTATGCAGTTACGAACGGTGACAGGGTTGAGACGCAACATCTGCGCCTCCATCTGCACTTCTCACCGATCGGCAGCTGGCGGAAGGTGAAGGAGGGAAAGGGCCCCGCGGGGCCCCGAAAAAGACGTCGAACTTTGGCCCGCAAAAGGGCTACGCGCTCGTCTCGGCGCGTGCACGATAAATCATTAAAAAGGCGTAGCCCGGAGTGACGCCGCACCGCCGTTAATAAACGCGCCACCAAACTGTGAATTACGGGCGGCCGTGAACGAGCGGGGGTTGCGCTCGCCCCCCCCTGTCGCGGTCTTTGTTTCGCATCAGCCTGTGACCGTGTTCCACCGGACGACCGGGGGATGATTTACCTTCCATTCCGCGCGTGAAACACGCACTCGCAATTATTATTTATCCGTACCCTTATTACAGACCCCGATTATGATGTTTAACTAAGACTGCATTAACATTTAAGATCTGTATCTTTATTCTTTATCATGAAAGCATCTAGATAAGAATATATCAAGAAGTCCTTTCGGATAATATGTGTCATAATATGTTTAGTTTTTCAAACTTGAAATATTATGATTACAGCCGTGAAATAACTGAAAACAATGATTTTTATCTTTAAAACTTTACTGTATTTTACACTTGATACATGCTTTATGAATTTCGCAGCCGACTTTTTGCAAAGATTTAATTTTAATTATGTAGATGTCAGTATATTTTGAGACATAAGAACAATTAATGATACTTTGCGATCATTTGAATGCCAAAGCAATATCTTAGATTTGTATACACAACATTTTCGTTTTTCTTTTAACTGACAAAATGGAATTTGTTTCTAAGACGTTTACGTCAATTAATATGAATCATATTTCCCTTACCATCGTCCTGAACATGACGTTCGTAATACATAATTTGCAAATATATTTCATTATATGGTTATATGATTCCATTGCCTGGTGCGAACGGGAATGAAATTTAGAAGACTTTATTCGTGGGGTGTATTATGTTCTATCAAGCACACCGAGACACATCGCGCCTTTTAGAGCTTGAAAACACAGACGTATTTGTTCTAATACGAAACCGATGCTAATGGCGATACATCATAGCCCGGTCCCCGGGCCACCCTCTTTTCCACCCTTCCTCTCCTGCCACCTAGAGAACGTCACCATGAATCACAGCTGAGATGCTAATGTACCAATTTATCTCGTCCCAACTTTATTAAGACTTACTTTTTCTCGGCGCGAAGGGAACGAAAGACCACGGCCATCTCCACGCTGCTCTCGGCTCGTCTCGCCAGAACTTCAATTTACACATCTATGTGCATACAAACGTAGCGCGTGTGTATACGTGCGTAAAAAAGAAGATCGATATCGGGTGGGCGAGAGAACACCTATAGGCAGCGTCGAGAAACGGACTGACAAATTCCCGCGACGGAATACACGCTCGTAAATCATCGTCCGGTTTGGCGGCCGAAAGAAAGATGACGAGGTCGTCTTCGTGGTGCTCCTCGAAATTCCATCTGGTGTGACGCGTCGGTCCCGCTGTGCCGCATCATTGTCTCATCGTCATCATGTTCTACACGCGAAAACTCTCTCTCTCACCCGCGTCTTCAAAATCGCTACGCAGATCCATTAACGCGCCCGAACGCCGGAGATGGCCTGCTTGCTATCTTGCACGCGGAGACTTTGCCGATGCTGCACTGCACTTAAGAGATCGATAAAAAATATTGTACTCTCGAAAAATATTTTACGGAGATGAAAGAAACGCTGTATGCGTCTAATATCAGCAAGATCAGATTATTCATATATCCGCACTCCAATATTTGATGTCTGGCACGAAACTAGACATTGTGGTGAGTTTAATTAAGAAAATATTTGTTAGACAAAATAAAAGGCGAATTATATTTGTGTCCGAGAAGACATTGATCCTTTTCCCGATCAATCAACATCTAGACATGGATATATAGATATTTGAAATCCATAAAAAAAAATTTATAGACGCTTTGTTAAGGATTAGACTACAATTAAGAAATATTTTAACGATATCACAAATTTCTTGGACACATTAGCGTGCAAGTTATCCGATACGCCCGTGGTTAATCCGGACTCTCCGATTATCCCGTCGATAGGTAGGAACACTTGTCGAAGGAGCGAGCAAAGTGCACCGGACGACGGAAATAGCTGCCGGGCTCTGCCATATGGGCACGACGGGCGTACGACGGCCAGAATGTCGCTCGATAAATCCGGCGGGCATACAGATTTGTCACGCGCGCGAAAATAGACGGAGGAATAAGCGAGGGAACCGTGGACCCGTGGACCGCGATGTCGATGTCGGCAGGGAGGGCGAGGGGTGCGTGCAAGACGAGCCGATGCACACCACACGAGAGACGGAGGGCGCGAGAGGGATGAGGTACGGGGACCGGACGCGGTTGGTGGGCCTCGACGTCGCCGCGTAAACACGGAGGCGCCGCGGCGCTTTACGACGCCTCGGTACGGCCGCTGTTTAACTTATCCGCGACTTTCTGGCACACAGGCCATTTTCACTGCCGGCCGCGGTAACGACGACACGCACTACGTGTCGGCCCTGAGACGCCTGTCGCGACGCCTTGCAAGGAGCTATCGTTGGCTGAAACGACGTTCGAAATTGCAAACACATTTCCGAATGTCGGACAATTTAATCTCGTTAACGTCTGGCTTGTAGGAAATATTTTCCCGTATAGAGACATAAATGCGTATACAACCGTGAAGCTTGTAAGTGTAGTACATCGATCACGAAAGTTTAGGGTCTTCTAAATTTAATCTTAGGTAATATATATTTATCGAAGTCATACAGAGAGAACTTTGTATGTTCATTTTAATCATTATATTAGCGATTTTTTTAGTTAGAACACACGTCGATAATATGATATAAACTCTCGGTGTTATACAAAGTAAAATTGAGGAAAATTCGAAGGGACGTTGTATCGAGTACAACGGAAGGACATCGCGTCCCGTCAATGCATCGTAGATCCCGATCTTACGCTCGTGCGGCAATTCTCGAGATTAGGATTAAATATTGATGGCGTTGGCTGATATAGATTAATGTACATTCACTGGCACCTCGGATCTCCTCAATCTAGCCGACGCGAGCGTTATTTGTCTCTCTCGTCCTCCGCCAGGAGAAACGTAGGGCTTCTCCCCTTCCCCCCTTTCCTCGGGTCGATTCCAGTCTCGCTCCTTCCATGACGAAGGACGAAGAGGGATCTCTGATTACCACCTCGGACGTGGCACGGATTGTCGAGTTCTCTTATCTGCTCCGTTTCTCTCTATCGTGCCAAGTTTCCGTTGCCACATTCCCTTAACCCCCTCGCCCCTCCAGTCCCCGCTAGCTCGTCCTATTTCGGTTATGATGAACGGTGTCGCTGGGGGAGGCATTTATCCCGAGATACAGCATCCTGGGGGAATCTATTAGCGTGGGCCTGGATAGATGCGAGCTTATTTACCCTCGCGATAACGTCGAATTATCTCGAGGAGCCGCGCGGCCGAGGACGCTTCCCGATGAGATTCGAGATGAAAAATAATCGCGA